TCATTATAATCAGTAATTATGTCCCCACTGGATGCAACAAATGCCTCGTTTGTAATGGGTTTTAATGTTTTTGTATCGTCGCTCCGGCCAGGACACGGCATCACAATATGGTAACATTTCCATCACACGCTTGAGGTATTCGGCCAATCAGAGCACACCTCGCTTTTCAGACCGATGAGCTTTGTAAAAATCGACGCGTTTCAGAAAGGCGGGGCATAGAGGAGAAACAATAATGTACAGTATGTGGAAAATGTGTTTTTTGAACCTTAAACCGCATAAACACATTTCATTACACCAAATACACAAAATAATGTTCTTTTTAGCAGCATCATATGACCCCTTTAAACATTCCTTTGTCCTACATGGACCTGTTGTTATAAAAGCTGCAGTGTTTTTTTATTTTTTCTTTGAGCCAAATGTCAAGATTGTCCTATCGTGTGACTGTCTCAAGCATGGATCAATAAATTACAACTTTTATAAATGAAAAATAAAAGCTTAAAAATGTTAATAAATAGCTCCGGCATAATTGTACAAGTGTCTATTTTAGTAAATGGCAGCAGTAAATCATGAAACATTCCTTTGTCCTATATGGACGTGTTGTTATGAAAGCTGCAGTGTTATTCATATCCTAGTTTTAAATCGGCCAATTCCAGAGAAAACTTTAATTAGTTGAAGGACCCCATTCATGGTCGTCTTACTGAAGCCCCCTGTGAAGCCCATGACACGTGCACATGGAAAACTTTTCTCAGAATTGTTCAGATATTTAACTTTTTTGGAACCAAGTGTTACGTTTTGTTGTCCTTTGCTGTGACACCCCTAAATTATATTTTTTTATTAAAAACTGCATGTTAAACTACATAATCATGGAAAATTATGCAGATGTGTCTTGCTAACCGCTAATGACAGGTTAGCTCGGAATAGCAAGGTCAATAACTGACAGAAAAAGGCTGAAACGTCCTATGGTGTGACAGAAAATGTCCTCCGGTGTGACACCTGTACTGTCACACCACAGGACAAAGATGTCACACCAGAGGACAAGGTCTCTTTAAAAAGCATTTTAAATAATTAAATAAGATTTGTTTAACTGCCTTTTTTTTTTTTTTTCAGTGTTCTTAAATGCAATAATATCATTAATTAAACTATTTTCTGATGTTTTTACAGAAAACTTGTACTATTATAAAGTGTCATGAAAATAAGCATAAAATGTGATACTTTGTTTTTGAGACCGAAAGAATTGAGGTAGAGAAATTAGTGGAAGAGAGAGGACACGGAAATATAGACAGAAAGTTAACAGGGATACGTGTAGAAGGGAGGAGATCCTAAGAGAACGATGCAGAAAGTAAATAGAATCAAAATGATGCCTTAAAAAGAGTAGCCATATATTTAAAACATCTTAATGATTATAGTTTGAGCCGGACATGCAGCGAGGGGCTAGAATAGTTTCAGTAACATACTGATTGACTAAGAGACAAAATTTTGATAATGAAAATTATTTTTTGTTTTGTTTAAAAAACATGTTGATATTGTTTGTATCAAAATTAAACTTTCTTTCTCGTTTGACATGTTCAAAATTAAATAGAAATAATTTAATTACTACCATTTCTGTCCTTTTGTGTGACGTAATGTCCTATGGTGTGACACACATAAAAGAACCACAGATTTGTTTTTATCTCAACATATCTTAAAAAACAGTTGAGTATTGCAATAGGGGAGATACAAATATCAATCAACTTAAAATGCTAGAATTTTCAGCAGTTTTGAACGGATGACAGCAAAGTTTGTCTGGAAATTGTCCAACAAGTCATGGGGAAAAATTGTTAATTATAATTTCATAATAAATAAATAGCACTATATGAAAATAAGTGTCTAACAATAAAGATAAATCTCTCTCTTGCTATTTATGTATTATTAAGAGTTTTTTTCTTAATTTTTGCTATGTCACACACCATAGGACAAATTTATGGTACAGTTCAGTAAAAATGTTTAAAAAAAGCAGTGAAAGAATTGACAAAGTTAGTGAGTCTTTATATTTTCTCAAAGATCAGACTTCACACTACATAAATATATGCATTTCTTTTTCATAAAAGGTTTTTTACAAAAAAATAATAATTTTTACTGCCTATTTGTCAACTACCTTCATAAAGTATGCAGCATCTTGAAAAACAGCCACATATTGTGCATAAATGACAGAAGGATTTAAACCTTGGGCTTTCAATTGATTAAACATTTGAATTGAATTAATTACATGAAGATAACTGTTATTGCGACACAAATGTGTTTTACAAAAGTGGCTTAAGTATAGTGTTTATTTTCATGGGGTTTAATTTACCCTATCACTTATATCCTTATATGTGACCCTGGATCACAAAACCAGTCATAAGGGTAATTTTTTTTAAATTGAGATTTATACATCATCGAATAAATAAGCTTTCCATTGGTTTGTTAGGATAGGACAATATTTGGCCGAGATACAACTATTTGAAAATCTGGAATCTGAGGGTGCAAAAAAATCTTAATATTGAGAAAATCGCCTTTAAAGTTGTCCTAATTAAGTTCTTAGCAATGCATATTAATAATCAAGAATTAAGTTTTGATATATTTACGGTAGGAAATTTACAAAATATCTTCATGGAACATGATCTTTACTTAATATCTTAATGATTTTTGGCATAAAAGAAAAGTCGATAATTTTGACCCATACAATGTGTTGTTGGCTATTGCTACAAATATACCAGTGCTACTTAAGACTGGTTTTGTGCTCCAAGGTCACATATCACTTATGGCTCTTTTCCACTGCATGGTACGGCTCGGTACACTTTTTGGAGGTTTTCCACTCGGTACAGTACCTGGTACCTGGTACTTTTTTTAGTACCACCTCGGTTGAGGTTCGAAGTGAACCGTACCGTTACCAAAACGTGACGTGTAAACTCTGCTGATTACTGATTGGCCGGAGAGAATCGTCACTACGCAACTATAACGACATGTGAATAATCCCGCCCACTCTAAAGCGGTACTAAACTCCAATGAAACGCAAGCCGAGCCGAGTCGTACCACGCAGTGGAAAAGCGCCATTAGATTTGACAAAAGTGGCTTCAGTGTAGTATTTATTTTCATGGTGTTTAACTTTTACCCTATCACTTATATCACTTACCTGTAGTCCATAGCAATACATTTTGCAATGACCTGTACAATCCTTTCAGTGCAGATTTGTTTTTTGCTTGCATCTATTTTAATTCATTACAGAAAACACACAGTTCAGATCGTATCAAAATGTTTTGATCGATATCAGTACTTCAGTAAATGTCTTATTGTCTATATCATTGCATGTTGTTCTAAAGAAAAAAAACTGTTTGTTTTCTTAATCTTTCATCAAAATGTAATAACTCTGCTTTTGATATGGGTTTTTCTACTGACAAAACCTAAGCAGCATGCATTGGGGAAAATTAACGTTAATATCAACATATCATAGCCATATATGATCAGATCAAAACAGATCAAATCCACAAACTTCCCTTCATTATTTCCAATACAATATTCTGTTTCACTCAGAATTCAAAATTTGTCAAGTTAAATGGATAGTTCACCCAAATTGAAAATTCTGTCATTTACTCACCCTCACACCATTCCAAACCTGTTATTTCTTCTGTGGAACACAAAAGAAGATATTTGGAAGAATTTTTTGACAGTTTTTGCCAATAGTCAATTGTATGGAAGCCCATTTCTGCTACTGAATAACAAAAACAGGTAATTGTGACTTTTTATCTCACAATTCAGACTTTTTTCTCTCAGAATTGTGAGATATAAACTTGCAATTGCGAGTTATAAAGTCAGAATTGCACAGTTGCGAGAAAAAAATCTCAGAATTGCGCCTCGAAATGGCGTGTTATAAAATCATAACTGTGAGATATAAACTCACAATTTTGAGAAATAGTCAAAATTGTGAGATATAAACTCACAAATCTGACTTTTTTTTAATCAGAATTGCAAGTTTATATCTCAGTTGTCACTATTTTTCTCAGAATTCTGAGTTTATATCTTGCAGTTATGACTTAATAACATGCAATTGCGAGTTAAGTCAGAATTTTGAGATATAAACTCGCAATTCTGATTACATATCAGTCCTTTTTAACTGCGAGTATATATCTCACAATTCTGAGAAAAAAGGTCAGAACTGCAAGATGTTTTTATCTTGCAATTCTGCCTTTATAACTCCCATTTGCAAGTTTATATCTCACAATTCTGAGGGAAAAAAAGTCAGAACTGCAAGATGTAAACATGCAACTGCAAGAAAAAAAGTCAGAATTGTGAGAAAAACTTGCAATTAACTTTTTAATTTTTTATTCAGTGGCAGAAACAGGTTTCCATACAATTGAGTCCTAAACAATACTGATTGGACCTCATTGACTTTCATTGTGTAGACAAAATACTTTTTTTTGTTTGTTTCACAAGAAGAGTCATACTGTTTGGTAGGGCTGGGTATCGATTCAGATGTCCCGATTCATACATTTTTTGATTACATTCAGTGAATATAGTTTTAATACAAATGCTATTGATATTTCTAAAAAAAATGACAGTAAACATCAGTTTACAAATGGTGAATTAATAAAAAGAAATTAAGCCACATGCCTGTATTTTAAACCTATTATTTTTTTTTGTTAGTGTCCTTTTTTAAACAATAATAGGGCCCTATAAAATGTTCTTCATTTTTCTGGTAATCAGATGAAGGTATAAAACATTAATTTAATTTATCCTAATCAAATGAAAATTAAACCCTTTTATTTTTTGGCAAACAAAGTGCTGCACAACAGAGGTTTACTGTTAAAATTAAAAAGAAAACAGATGTGATTATTCCTTTAAAAATAAAGATTTATTCATATTTATTAGCAGTAGTAGCATTGAGTCTTAAGACTGCTAAATAGTAATATATTCTGACAGTTTCTTAACGTTAAACTAAACTTTTATTTTGACGGGTTGCCGTGAAGAACTTGCAGCTGCTGTGTATGTGATATGACGGTAGTTTTCTCAAATGAAACGGTAAAATGCTAATGAAGTGACTCTCAGAGCAGCTGGAGATGACATTCGTGTTCATATCATCATATAGTGAGACGGCAGAAGCTGAAAACACGGCGAACGTCAGCCGCAAACGTCAGCCGCACTTTAGTATGTGTGTAGTAAACAAAACAGTGCGCCGCGCCATCCGCCATTCATTCATTACGGAAATCATGCCGCCTTATGCGTGATATCAAATGCTTCCGCAGATTTATAGCATTACTATAGCATTTCACCTGAGCATTACGAATCACGCGTATGGCCATAAGCGCTGAATGAATGACAGGCTTTCTGTTGTAACATCGCGCAAGGTAAATAAGGGTGACATCTAGTGGAGAAGACTAATGATAAGATTCACGTTAATCAGATCTTGTTTTAAATGTGTGCTGAAATAAATACCAGAAAAGATCGATTCGCGGCTTCTGAGAATCGATATCGAATCGACGTCATTTAAAAAAAACGATTAATCGAAAAATTTGGTTTTTTTTGCCCAGCCCTACTGTTTGGGAATAACATGATTCGTTGACAAAATTTTCATTTTGGGTGTACTATTCCTTTAAATATGTGGCGAATGTAATTTAATTTAGTCTTAAACCCGGTTATAAAGTCATATGGTTTATGTAATCGGCAGACTGGTAGTGCTGATAGCAATAAGCTGTACTTGAGGACAACAGCAGTCTCCGAAAATCGAATCATCCCACACTGCACCTGCTAGAGGAAGAGCGTGCAGTGAGGTTTGCTGATCTGAGCCAGGCCTTCACGCTGAGCCTGAGATAGGGGAGACCCAAATCCTGAAACACACTCCACCTGCCTCTGCCTGCTCAGCAAAAACCGAGCATCCACACTGAGAAAACGCTGGCAGGAGTTTTATTTCTCACAGTAATTGTAATCAAACCTCGGATCCGCTGGTGTTTTCTAAGATGACAGCTGGGAATGTCTCTCCCGCTCTGACTGGCTGACACTAATGACTGCAATTTTCAACTGCATGATGTCAAGCTTTTAATATCTTCTCTCTAATGCTTTTTGAAAGTGTCTGGATTGGGGCAAAGGTTAAGTTGGGAATTTAGTGAACCACAAACTGTTGACTGTCATTTTTCACTCAGAGCAAACAGATTATCATAATGCAAGCAAGTGATAAATCGTATGTGTTTGAAAGCCATGAAATTAATGCTGGGATTGACTGACACAGCATGAGGCTTCAATTATGGTTAAAGCATTGTTTGAAAACGTAAAGTCTTTAGAGTTATAATGTTATGATGTAATTGCCTGTACTCATGGAGCATGCATAAATTTGACCATCTGTGTGGTCTTGTTTGTGTATCCATGTGGGGACCGAATGTTCCCTCGGTGATAGTAAAACTCTAAAAACCTATTTTGTAAATATTAATTATTAGTATTGGTGAATAATGGATATTGAATTGTGCATGCTCATTTCCCTATTTTTTTTTAAATTGCATTTGTTGTCATCTAACACTCACTTAGTCTTTAATCACTAATAATTCAAAGTTAATTTATAAAAACTAATAGTTTAATAACACTGTTAATGTAATCTTTTGCAAATCTGAAAATAAATATCTATTTTACAAACTGTAGATTATAATATTGCAATGCCTTAAAGGAAAAGTTCACCCAATAATGAAAATTTCCTGATAATCTACCTGATAATTTAATAGGTTTTTTTTTTACATAAAAACGTATATACTTTTATTTATGTAGACAAAATAATACAGAATTGTAATATCAGCTTTTTTTTTGGTTATTGGTCATAACCTAAAAAATGATTCTTGGTATTCCTGATATTAAGATCATACACTGAGACTCACTTTATAGGCTATAGGTTTATTCCATGTTTGGCACATTGATCACATTTTATATACTTAAAGTACATACTGGAATAATTATGAATGACATTAATAATTAATTAAACTTTAATGTAGTTTAATGTCATTCGAATTGCAAATAGTTATTCAAACCTGATGAGGTGGAAATGTTGGCAGTGAAAGGTCATGGAGGACTCCAGCAGATTCATACTGGCACAGATAAATCATCCAGCCCATGCACTGTCCTCCATGACCTTTCCTCCACACTCATGCAGAAATGCACATGTAAAGAAAATATTCAGCATATTACTGTCCTGAATGTGCATAAATTATGCATGCCTGCATGTGCTGTATATGACTTCGCTTGCATCTTTAGATATGTGAGAGTGTGTTTTGCTCCCATTGGCAACTCCATCTGCCTCCCTCAGGTCAGGCTTAGTAAAGGACATCTCATTCCCGTTACTAGCAGACCATCTACAGAGGCAGCTTGTGCTTAGGCAACACGACTTGGCAGTGAAGCCAAACCAGGGGGGACAGTCACTTTAATATAAAGCTATGATCGTTGTTTCAAGGTTATCCAAAACCACCAGATCCCGTTACATCATTTGGGACAACAACAGAACAATCTCCAGTGCATGTTGCGTCTCATTGGAGAAGGGCCCATAGCTTTTGATTATAACTCTGAATGTCTGGCTGATATGATAAGCATGCATCTTTATCCTCCAGTGAACTGCTTGTTTGCTCTTCTCTCCTCCATGTATTCATCTGTGCCTTATTTCCTCCAGCCTCCAGCCAAATACCTCTTGCCTGAGGTCAGCATTAATGATTACGGCAAGAACTGTGTGGTCATTGACCTGGATGAGACCCTTGTGCACAGCTCCTTCAAGGTACTTCTGAATACACACACATAACCACAAATACTACAATTTTGTTATTATGATACTTCATATAGCAATGAATAAGTGGCATATTGAGGCTATGCCTTGCTAATCAGTTTTACCTTGGCAACCATTGCCGTTCTTTATTTGACAAGCATTTGAATAGCGCCAAGTGTTGCTAAATATTATTTTAAAATTTAGCTCGCTGCCTATGTAGGGAGCTTTTTAAAAAGTAGGCATCTTAAAGGAATAGGTCACACAAAAATGAAAATTCTGTCATTAATTACTCACCCTCATGTCGTTTTCAAACACGTAAGACTTTTATTTATCTTCGGAACGCAAATTAAGATATTTTTGATGAAATCCGAGAGCTTTCTGACCCTGCATAGAGAACAATGCAACTGATATGTTCAAGGCCCAGAAAAGTTAGGACATTGATAAAATAATCTATGTGACATCAGTGGTTCAATTGCACTGTTATGAAGCTACGCCAATGCTTTTTGTGTGCGAAGAAAACAAAAATAACAACTTCATAAAACGACTCCTGCATGGTGGTATTCTCGTGAACGCGCAGCAGTGTCTGACACAGAAGAGAAGAAATTGTTGAATGAAGTCATTAATTTTGTTTTCTTTGCGCACAAAAAGTATTTGCGTAGCATCATAACATTACGGTTGATGTCACATGGACTATTTTAACAATGTCCTTACTATGTTTCTGGTCCTTGAGCTTGTTTGTTGTGTTGCATTGCTGTCTATGCAGGGTCAGAAAGCTCTCGGATTTTATGCAAAATATCTTAATTTGTGTTCCGAAGATGAACGAAGGTCTTATGGGTTTGGAACGACACGAGGGTGAGTAATTAATGACAGAATTTTCATTTTTGTGTGAACTATCCCCATATAATCTACCTCCTAAGATAACTTGTTGTGGCTAAATTTAGTGCCATAACTATCCTTTGCAAAGAAGGAAATCCCAGAATACATAGTAATTGAAGGTGGTGGAGAATGCGGGCAAAATGTTGATCATGAATGCATATTTTTCATTCAGTACTGGCAAGAAAATTGTTAAAAATAGTTCAGTGTAATTAGAAATAGATTATTTTAACAAATTTTTGTCTGTTATGCATTTTAATAAGAGTGTTATGTGCTAACATAGCAAAATGCTAATGTTAAACTCTATTGAAATCAATTGTGAAACAGGTCTCATGCAGAGTGTTATTTGTATGGAGTTTCTGCCTTTATAGACAATTCCAATTCGGTCACTTATGAGATCCTATTTCATCCTATTTGAATGCTCCATTAGAAGGCAGCTGCCTATGTAGGCACTAGACAGTGAGGCAGCTCAGTAGGTTTTGGGACAGAGCTTCCATTTTAGGGTGTATTCACACCGGTCTTGTTTGGTTCGATTGAATCGAACTCAAGTTCGTTTCCCCCCTTGGTGCGGATCTTTTGGGCAGGTGTGAATACAGCAATCGCTCTCGGGTGTGGACCAAACAACCGTACCGAGACCCAGCTGAAGAGGTGGTCTCGGTCCGCTTCCAAACGAACTCTGGTATGGTTGAATGGATAAACCAATGAATGGATGACCTTAAGCACACGTGTGGTTTTGTTTACAGTTTCTGGTTCACTTGCAAAAAGGGCAGTGTGAAAGCGAACCGCACCTAACAAAAAAAATAAACATTGTATTTGGTCCGGACCAAAGCAAGTGAACTTGCGGACCTTCCTGGTGTGAATACACCCTTAGTCCTCATTTCTAAATAAACATTGAGCAAACATTCACTCCTGCACATTGTTTTTGAGTGGCCAGATTAATAATTTGAGCAACCTAAGACATGATAACAGAAGGCATTGGCAGTATTTTGAGGTTGTTGGGGTGGATTTGAATTCCCAAATGAATTAAATCCTCTTCCGAGATTAAATGTTTGTCTGGTCTCTATAAAGTAGCGCTTCGGGGAGCCACCTGCTGAGTGCAGTGACCCACTTCTCTGCATCTTGGTTTTAGGCTGGTTTTTAGCTCTCTCTCTCACACACACGGTCAAATAAACAACTATGTCCAGTTGATTACATACAATCACTCTACATTTACATATGTACACACATCCTGCTTAATGCATACATGTCTTCCACAGCTGGATACATCCCTGCTCCCAAAGGAGAAAGACAGTGACAGATGCTGAATGTGTTTGCTCTAAGACTAATAACTGTGTTTTGTTAAGCCTGTCCTCCTTTAAAATGTCTGCCTGGCAGCTCCTGTTTTTGCTCAGAGAAGAGAGAAAGGCGGCGACTGAGAGAAAGAGGCCCAGAGAGAGGGATGCATGCCTTTTGTGCGCGTTCCCAACCTCACATACACACACAAATACACCCATCCTGACACCAAAACACACACCCACATACACACACATCACATTGGAAAGGTATGCTCACAGTTACACAAAAACGATTTGACCGTGACCATACTTGACGAGTGTTTACAATATTTTCTATCACTTATAATTATTACCTAGCATGTTCTGTCTCAGTTGGCTTGATTTTCTCAGTGACAGATGTTGTTCTTTTCCTTTTTTACATACAGTGGCTACAAAAAGTATTTTAACAAGAATATTAAATATTTAGTATTTAATGCAATGGATTTTTTTAGTTTTAGACAGACATAGACATAATACTTGTTTTACAATATTGACCAAAAGTCTGTACTTCATACATATATATATATATATATACACACACACACACACACACATTACTAACCCTGGATTATGAGGACAAT